AGGATATTTATACAAGCATTCTAATATTTTGTGAAAAGTAGTTGTTACGTTGGCTTTATAAGGATCAAAATTCATTTTGGTCCCTTAGTTTAGATACACAAATTATTTTGTCCTTCCTCTCTCTCTCACACACATCAATTAAATTCTCAATCTTTTTTCTTAATTAATTTAAGCATGTTCATCTAATCCTTATATATACACAAGATCAAGAACCTTATTAAAAATTAATTGATTATTATGCCTTTAGTAAATTAGTCGTAACTAGTTTGTTGTCCGCATACTACCATGAAGAACTTTTTAGCAATGTATTTAACTCAACTGAGCTAAGCAGGTCAACATGGTGACCCATAAAGTCGATCTCTAAGCGGAGCCAAGTTTTAAAGCAAATCGAGTAAGAGTTGACTCAGTGTAGTCCAACTCTTTGTCTGCAACTTAATCGACTTGATTAAAATTCAGGTTGACTTCTTTTTTTTATATATAAAAAAATGACATTGATTTTATGTTTTTTTAATAAAAAACACTAAAACAATAATATTTTGGATTGACTCGGGTTAAGTCATCCAATCCATGACCTAAGTCATGACCTTGGTCGAGTTTAATATCCTTTTTTATTGGAATCAATTTTTATTTAATTAAATGATTATAAAAATAAATATCTATGTAAAACCCTAGTTAATTGTTTTTTGAAATATTAAATTTGAACTTGGGAATAGAATGAGTTAAATTAAATTGAGGATTTAAAATTAAATAACAAAGGATGTAACTAAGAGAAATAAAAGAAAGTATGACATTATTTTTGGAAAAGAAGAAAAGATGGGTTCAAAATATAATAATTAAGCAAATAGGGTCAAATTATAAAGGTTAAAAGATTTGACTATAAATACTCAATTTCTCTCTCCAATTTGGTAGCAAGAGTGAAAAAAAAAATGCAAGGAGGTTTTCTAGCCTAATTACAAAATTTGAGAGAAAATCCTATACAAAATGAAGGGGTTTGAGTGAGATTAGTCTATGTTTGAAGGAAACAATATCAAGTTAAGAATCAAGAATCAAAAGACAATAAATAAAAGAGTTTAAGATTTTAAAGAGGGTTAGAACAAACCAAAATGGGGAAAAGAGAGAGTGCCAAAAAATTTAGTTGGTTAATGATTGAAGTTTATTTTATCACTATGTAAGTGATTTTAAACTTAATTATGAAAATTATATTGAATTTGATTAAGAATTGATTCCTAATTGTAAATTTTAAGTTAGAGTTTATGAGAAAAATTAAAAGAAATGAGAAACTTGTCTTGTTTGATGAAACTAGGATGGAAAGAGATGAAAATAACATAGAATAATGAGTAATAGAAAAAAATAAATCTTGGTGTCAACCATAAAGAGAGAGAATTGAATTTTTTTAAAAAAAGCAATGCATGCATATTATTTGGTCATGATAAAAAAAAAAGAGCAATGCATGCATATTATTTGGTCATGATTATTGTAACATATGTTGAAATATGAAAAATGAATTGAAAAAAAAATAAAAATATTATATTTAATTCTAATCGAAAGACTTGGTTAAGCTTGAATTGTGAATATTTGAGTTATGAGGAATTATAGAATTATATATAATCATATAGTAATATTGATGAATGAATATTATGAAATATGTGGAGGAGAAATCATTGCTTTGAATGATGAGTAAATGAATGAAAATACTTCGTTGTATGTTAAAAAAATAAAATTAGAAAACTTGACAATTTAATCACTCCATTTTAAGCTGGGTTGAGGGTTTGAGAATGATAAAAATTAGAATAAATCTTTTCATAAAACTTAAATTTAGCGCTGTTAAATTTTTAGTGAAACTAATCTCACTTAAATCAAAGTTCTAAACCTTCAATAAGGGAGGGTTGGATTAAATTTCTACTTGATAATTTTAGTTGTTGCATTAATTAATTTAAGAGGTGTAAATGATAGAATTGAGTTTTATTTCCTTCATTAAAGCTAGAGCCTTATATCTCATCTTTTAAAAGAAATAAACAATATACAAAATTAATTTTTATAACTTAGGATATGGTTAAAATATTGACCGGTATTTTGAGCAAGTAAATAAGCTTAAGTTGGCTACAAGTAACTAACTTTAAAAAATTCATTTAGAATTGCTCTTAACATAAGATTTAAAATGATGGAAATTATATGAATGAAATGACTAGTATAGATTAAATAGCTAATGATGATTGGGTTAAGTAATATGGAATCATAGTAAGTCATTTTAAGTCAAGAGAAAAATGATTATTTATGGAGTTAAATTTTAAAATAAGTTTAGGATTAATAAGTTCTGAGCAAATTATGGCATTGTTCTTATTGGCATAAACATGACCTACTCAGTAGTAGGGACCATTTCACAATCTCAAATGTTAGGTAGGTAATTGATATCTTCAAATTTAAGCACTATTTAATTGTATTGGTAATTTTTTTTTAAATATATAGCAATATTATTTGGTAAATAATAAATTATTAAAGAAACTAGTTATCTTATTAAATATAAGATAACTAAGACTAATGCTCTGGTAAATGAGCAGATGATGATATTGATTTGGTTAATGGATTATTACCTTGGTAAATAAGCAGATGAAGATATTGATTCACTGATTAATGAGATTAATACTTTAGTTAATGAATAGGCAAAGATTATCTTCTGGTAAATGAGATAATCCCATGATTAGTAGGAAATCGAAGAAACTAGTCTGTTGGATTACTAGGACTTGTGTCTGAGTTAATGAGAAATTGAAGAAATCCATAATGTAGAAATGAAGCAAGTGCTGGTTTGGCAAGATAAGATATTGTGTTCTTAAGTCATGCGAATTGTATAAATTGGGAATAATTTCATATAAAAGTAATAATAGTAAATTATTTGTGTATAGACTAATTATGCTTAGTATAATATAAATTTAAGATACTTAACAATGTCATGGAAAGTAGTGGATATCACATTTGTAATTAGATCAAATTAATATATATTTTGTTATGCAATATAATTTTATAACAATGTATTATATGAATCTAAATTAAATATAGATGATATATCTTAATTAGTTTCTTTTAAAGCCATATGACTATAATTATGTAGCCACATATTTAATTTATTTGCAAGTTGTAAAAATTAATTGAGTCGATAACCTGGTATTGAAAAATATAAAAAAAACTTTGCTAAAATTTTGATAGAATTATACACACATATGAAAATTTTTTGTACTTTAAATGATAATAATATATGTTCCTATAAATATGATAAAAAATTGGGGTTTTTATGATCTATGCAAAAGTAAAAAAAAAACAATTATGAAAAAGAAATTTATTTCTTCAAACTAAATTCAACTTCTTTATTTTTTTTAATGATATGCATTGTTGTTTAACCTATCATAATTTTAATAGCAAGTTTAAAAAGAAAATATTAAAACAATTCCTCAATATTTTATATATTATTGAAGAAAAAGAAAATAATAATTGTGATAAAATCAAGTAAAAAATCCATAAAAAATAAAGAAATGAAATTTAATTTTCATTGAATATTATGATTAGTTTTTTATTTTTGTGTATTAGGTAAATAATAATTGGATAACAGTTGTTAACATTCCTATAAAATCTTTAATAATATTTAAAAAACATGATAAGATTGGATAATAATTTAAATCACATTTCAATCAAAATCTAAAAATATTATAAAAAATAAAAAGAGGTCAGATATTTACGCCAAGAAGATGGGTCCTATATACCTGGCCAAACCAAGATATCTTTTTTATTTTAATATTTTTTATTGTATAGGTAAACCCCAAAGTAGATAATATATCACTTGCTCTCTCAAATTTCAGCAACTAGAGAAATGCCTAGAAAATCAGTCTAAGTTTTTTTTTATTAAAAAATCATTTTAAACATATTTTCATATAAAATTTTTCAATAAACACTCTTAGAATCTCAACAGATTAATTTCTTAACTCAAAATAACCTAAATTAGTTCAAAAACACAAAATTCAATCAAAATTTTTTCTAACCCTAATTACTTTTTCAGTAATATATAAGGTAAAAAAACCCCTTAATAGCATTTCTCTCATCAAAAGAAATATCACTAAATATGTCTTTTTTTAATATGTGGAATCTAGCTGGTCAGTTATTTTTTTATCCTTTCTCAAACTCAAGATGATCCTTGACATTTTAATATTTTATAATAATAAAATTGATTTTTTTTTGGTAAAATCAAGTATGAAACCAATGTTGAGATTTTTTTTTGATACCGTGACAATTCTATAAAAAACAAATTAAAATAAATTATCATAAAATTGATTTTTTTTTAGTAAAATCAAGTATGAATTAGTAGAAATATAGTGAAACCAAAAAGATTTTGTGGTTTTTGTTATTGTAATTATAATGGTAACTGTAACGTAATGTAATTGTAATACTTACATAATCATTTTACTAATTCCTTACTTTCCTCAATTACCAGCACATAAATTACCTTATTCCAAAAGAAGAGAAACCTATTCCAAATTTAAACACAGCCACTGTTACATTGAGAAGCTGACTAATCAAGAATCAACTATTCCCCTTAACAACAAAGCTAATTTTATTGCGATCACATTGAATTTTCTAAGATTGCGTACTGCTATTAGTTTGGGATTTCTTGTAAACGACAGGCCTAAGTGAACTTCATGATCCATCCGTGCTTGTTCTAGTATTGAATCGAGACAAAAAAGACGATGATTGTTAGGAAAGAAAGGATTTGTCTTCTGTCCTTCTGTTTTTCCTGTTTTAAAATGACAAAAATCCAATAAAAAATTTACAAAATTATTTTTATATCCTTATTTTTTCAACCATAATGGTTTCTTTTATCACACGATACAAACCAAAAGCAGCCTTACCATTGGGACCAAAAAGACTAAAACCAGGGACCCTCACTAACTGCAACTGCGTCATCAACAAGAACTGTTCAGTGATTTCATCTCGAGTTTATAGAATATAGAGTTATAAACATCACTGAATCAACTGGAGATTATTTTATCCATTCTCTGGTATCACTCAATGTTTACGAAACAATCAGCGGAACCAAAGCCCATGTTGTTCGCATATACATGTAATTCTACCGTGTCTGTAATACCCCTGGTACCATCCCAATGTTGATAGCAGGCCAGAATCTCGGAAGGATCAAGTATAAAAAAAGGGGAGAATATTTCACCGATGTAAAAGCAACCTGAAATTAAAATCATACGGCATTACTTGTACTAAATGCGGAAGGGGATCTCTTCCCCTTCTCTCGAGGCATTTAACTGCTTCATTCCTGAGTTCATTCGGTAGCTGCAGGCATATCCAATCAAGTAAAGATTCCATGTCTTTGGAAAAATCTAGTAGATACCAGTCCAACAGCTTTGGAATTATTAACTTGTTCGTTCTTGAAATCCCAACTGTCGCTTGTAAATAGTCTCGCTTTGCTACTTCTAGCTCTTCTTCAACTCGAGAGGCTGTGTAAACTCTTACCTGCATTTTTGTAGAGATCAACAGCAGAACCTCTACAAGTAATATTTGGATTACATCATGGAAGATCTTTTATTTATTTATTTATTTTTATAATGATGCACTTCCTGGTAGTTTTGGAAAAAAGTGTAAACGAAAATGGTGAGGTGACCTAGCCTGTGCAACAAATTCAAGGAGCCTCATCTACGTAGAAACTTACAGCAGGGGACGACCAGCTTCCACAACAGAGTGCAAAAGTAACCAAAGGCTCAGACCACTCGAATCCGAAAAAGCTGCGTGCCTTCATCTCGTTATTTTCTACTGCTTTTGGACAGGTCTATCACATTGAAGAAAACCACCCAGTTAGCAATTCAATGCTAAAAATTACCAAATAAAGAGAATATTGAAGCTCCAAGGAAAGCGGCTTACAAATTTTAAGTGATAAGGAAGCCTCAAGATGAAATGCTCAATTGTAATTGCATTTAGCAAGTGTCCGCCAACAGTTATTGTTGCCTAAGGGAATCATAGTTTGAATTAAGTCAATCTCAAATTTGTTTTCATCGAAAGCTAGTGTTAACAGAATCTTAGAAACACTTGGTCAGTGACTGTGTTTGAAAGTAATGACCATTTAGCAGATCATACATATACTTTAAATGATTCCAAGAAACTCATGACACAGCTTTAAGAGAGTTAAAGTCTAGGCATACAGATGAACCCGATCCCTGCGACGGTGCTAGTTTGCTAGGAATTGAAATATTGTACAACTTCTGACCTCTTAAACATCCACAAAATGACAAAGCACTGACGACTATCAATGATACGTAGACAACATAAAGAATAGACGAAACTCTGCATGGATAGAGAGAATTATAAATATATCCTACCTTTTGCATTAGAGCAACAACCATTTCAGGAGTCTCGGGTATCCCATGCTCCAAAATTGCCTGAAAGATTAACATTCTGGCTCTATAAATGCTTTACAAGTTTGTATTTTAATACCGGGCATATCATTTTTGTTTTGAGAGAGATCTTACATTCATCATGCATGAATTATAAGTGTTTATCCAGAAAGCAAGCTTCTGCTGATGGGTAAGACCCTCTAAATTTGCAGAGGCAAGCTTCCCTAGTAGAAACCTGAACATTATTGAAAATACAGTAAATACAAACCATAGCTGCTTGAAGTTCGAATGAAGTGACGCACAAAACTTACTTCAGTCTCTGGAGCAAAAACAAGGCACTTGTCGTACGGTTGAGATCAATCGAGCTAGCTTCAATTGCATAAAGATGCTTATAAGAACCAATATCTCTAATCTTGAACTCTGCAGACATGCCATAAGGATCTCGAATTTCATTTCCTCTGTCACCTTCAGGGGATGTCAAAGTCGCTCGTGATGAGAAAGTTCCTAATTCAACTACTTTGTCCTTCAACGTGCTCATCCTCAAGAAAATGCTGGACAAGCACTTCACAATATCCTCGGTTAACTTGTTTGGTGTGATGTTATTTTCGCATATTCTATCATTCATGTAAGCAGAAGTGCTTTCCTGTGCTCTTTCCTGCTCTACTAACCTGCATTCTAGCTGAGTAATACAAAAATGATCACCGATTCGAAGACCATAATATAATTAAAGGCTGGTTTCCTCTGAAAATTAGTGAGTAATTACGTACCTGCAACTTAGAAGGCTCCAAACTCTTCTCCTCTGATTCACGCTTGTTTGGAGTTCTCTTCACGGGAGTTGTGATTTTTGCCATCTTATCTGGAGATTGCTTATCCTTTACATAATTAATACATGATCGATTCTCCTTTCCCCGTCCATCATCCACAAGAGATGAAGAAGAATTGGGTTTACCAGAAGCATATTTTCCTCTATTTGCTGGCCTATTAGAACACTGCCCTGATCGCTCAATAATGGGGTCAGTGGAAAACAGCCTTTTACTCGAAGTGCACCTAGCAAGAGAAGGTTGAGGCCTTGCTGCAAAATTTGCTGGATTGGTCTCATTAAGAGAGAGTGATTTTGATCTCGCGTGTTTCGATCTTGTAGTTGATGGTTGTTGATCAATTGCATCCTTTGAATTCTCCACATTCTTCTTGGAGGAGACGTAGACAGCTTCTTGATAGAGTCCTTGTCTAAAATTCACAACTTGCTCTTCAAGCCGAACAACTTCCTCTTCGAGAACAGCCACTTCAGCAAGTAGCTCTAAGATCTAAAACAAACCAAACAAGAACCCACATTAATTACTGTTCATAGAAAAACATACAAAAATTAAACATTGGATTGGCTAATTGTCTTGACTAAATTAGAGAGAGTGTAGATAGATAGATAGAGATCTAATTGATAGAATATAGCGAATTTATACTAACATAAGGAGGCAGATAAGGAGGTAAGCGAGGCAGAGCTCCCAAAGGCCTAGTAAAAGCTCTCTCCAAAGCTCTATGAACATTCTCCTCATGTCTAAGTTTCTTTTTCAACTTATCAACCTGCAAATTTTGAAACCAAAGCAACATTCGAGTTTAAAACAACTCAGCTCTTATTGTAATAAACAGAATTGAATGGTTTTGTTGAGAAATTTTTTTAAGTACATCTTGTAGCAAGGCCAATTTCCTTTCTCTGTTTGCTTTACGCCACTTAATAGCAGATTTAGGGCCTCCAACTGCTCTGCTCCTCCCTTGAGCCTCCATCTTCTCCTTCTTGATAAATTCAGTATCAATTACAACAAATAAAGAATCAAACTCGAAGTAAAAGAGAGAAAAAGAGCATTATAAAGAAAGGAAGCAAAAGAAGAAGCCATATATATTCTTTTCTTGAGATGAGTGAAAGAATCCAATGCAGATTGCTGGATCTAAAGCACTTACTTTTTCTGGTCTGTAAGAGCTAGAAGCTTATCTATCTATCTATCTTTAATCCAGTTTCTTATAAAAAGTGGCTGAAAATTAAGTGGACAGAAAAAACTAAATTTCAAAGATTTGTAAAATTAAGCCCATATTAAACCTTTGAAAAATAGAAAAGAAAAGAAAAAACAATTCAGATAAAAATCTTCCAAGTCTTGAAAAATATAGCGAAGAAGGAGGAGGAGGAGGTTACTTTATTAGTATCATGGTTTAAAGGAGCTTTCATAGCCTGAAGAGCAGTGCGGACTCTAGTGTTCATCTTTTGGATTGATCCCCACTTGAAAACAAGATAACAATGAAACCAACTCTCTCTATATCAATTATATTAACCTGCAAAAACAAAAGCAAATCATATATACACCAACTCACTAGCTATCACAAGTTAAGAAAGAAAAGGAAAGCACAGAGAGAGGGAAATTAATACAAAAAAATTTACCTAGCGAAGCTTTGTTTCTTTCTTTTTTTTTTTTTTTTACAGAGAGCGGGAAAACAGAAATGGCTGCAGCAAGGCGTCATAGTAAGGAGAGAAACATTTGTTTAGTATTAGTAGTAGTTTTTTATTATTATCTCAAACAGTGTGAAAGAAAGAAAGCAAGCAAACAAAAGAGTACACAGAGCAGAGAAGAAGGTAGAAAACGACGACGAGAATCTTGAAACTGGTCATCCAATCCCCAAGAAAAGGGTAACAAATTTTAGGACACAAACAAAACCCTCCTCCTATTATTAATCAAAACAAACAAACGAAAACTAATAATTTAATGTATATATACGTTTAAGAGACAGACACTTACTTCTAGACTCATTCGTTGTTGGAGTCTAGTTTAGTTCGTTCATCTTTGATTCCATTGCATGTAGTGTCCTGTAGTAGTATAAAGCTGTGAGAGAGAGAGAAAAGGGGAAAGAGTAGAGATGGCAAGATGGAGAGCTGGTGAGTGACTATCTTTCAGCCATGGGTGGGTGTAGAAATCCGCTCTGTTCATCATTAGCTAACGTGCCTCTTCATCTTTTCTTTCTTTCTTGTACTCACTTTTATCGTATAGCAAAACATGTGGTTGTGAATTGTGATTGTCTCTTCATTTAAGTGTCCATTCATATGTTGTTGTTATTATTATTATTTTCAATGTTTTATACACAATGAATCTGCTATTTGTCCAGAAAACAAATCTACATAAATAAAAACAGCTAGAGAATGCAAGTTTATGACCTTGTGATGGTCATAATAAGAGTTAAAAAAAATAAAAAATAAAAAATTGAACTAAAACCTTATAAATATGAGTTCTAATGTGTGGAACATGTTACTGCTATTCTTAGAAGTTAAAAGTAAATGGCAAGATGAATATATTAAATATAAGTTAAATTAATGATCATGTTATTAGTGAATAACCATTTTTATCTGTAACAATATTTAATATGATATAGAACATTTATAATTAATTAGTAACATCAAATAAAAATAAGATCCTCTCTTAGCGCTTTAAATTTTTGGATCCATAGGGATATATTTTTATGAATGATGTTCATGTTATTTTATTTTTCAACTTATGGTAGCTATTTAATGAGAATTCCAACGTTAGATCCAAGCATAAGATTGAGATTTGAAACTTGTTTCATTGAAATATAGCTATCATTGTCATTGTACAACCTAAATCTACTAATCAATCTATTCCTGAATAAAAATATAATTTTTTTTTTTTACAAGAAAAACTAAATATGCTTACATAATTATGTCCAAGAGTTATGCTCTAATTATATATAATTATACACACACACACACACACAGACAAGTACATCAAACATCTATGCATAGCAGCTTCCCTTTGTTATGCGTTCTTCTCCTTTATAGCTGTGGTTGACTATGCTATCATTTGGAAGAAAGAAACAAAAACAAAAAACAAGTTAGTTAGCTCTTAGCACATGCTATATCAACTTGATTTACACCTTTTTATTTTCAACCACTTTGATGAGTCCAGCTGCAGAGAAGATTAATGATAATATATAATCATAATTAGGAGATCATTGATAGATTTTAATGTTAATGCACCTCGGATCCCAAAATCTTCATTTGATTGATCGTGCTTTAACCCAAAAGAAAGAGAAAACAAGAGGAAAGGAACGTCGAAGGCAAGCAAGGCAACGTGCTCCTTAATAATAGACAGCATTAGAGACTGACCAGCTCTTCCACGATTGCCATTGTTAACTTGTTCTGATGACCATTGTTAACTTGTTTTCTGATGAAATTAATTTCTTGATTCTTACATTATTTCATGTTGTGCCCAATTTGTCATTTTTAACTTTTGCATCATTAAATATATCTAAACAATTATCTACTCTTCACGGCTCTGTTTGATTTTGTATTTTAAAAATATTTTTAAAAAAATTAATTTTTTTATTTATTTAAAATTAATATCTTTTTAGTATTTTTAAATTATTTTGATGCATTGATATAAAAAATAATTTTTAAAAAAATAAAAAATATTAATTTAATATATTTTTAAATTAAAAATATTTTAAAAAATAATCACAACTACCTAGTTATATATATTCATGATATTTTCTAGCAATTTGTTGTTGAATATTTGAACCAGATCGTAAGATTAAATAGTTTTTTAATTTTTCATACCCAATTAGAAATTGCAAATAATAATAATAATAATAATAAATGAAGATTTCTTTCTTCTTTTTGAGGTGGATAGAATTCGAATTCATCCTCTCGGACGTAACATCCTGCAAGCCCAGTGAACAGGTAAGGCACCGCGGGGGTGACAGACGTACCACACAGAGAGGAGCCAGCAGACATAGGAAGGAAACCACTCGCCAGCCCCACTGCCACTGGGACTCGAACCGAAGTTCGAAAGAAGGCGAGCAGCGCCTTACGCTACTGAGCTACAAGTTGCTTGGTCCGTAAAGACTAATCTTGATTCTTCATATGTGATATATTCTTTTTGGAATATTTATGTTAGTGATAAAATAATTAATTTATAGTGAATTAATTTAAATTGAGTAATTAAAGAACCAAATCAAAACCCAAATCTTTGGATGCTATTGTCTCGAATCTCTTCCTGTAATCTAAACAATAAGAATTAAGTTTCGCGGTCAAGCTTAAATTTTAAATCACTATTGCAAGAATTTTTACTTCTAATAAATACAAGTATTTAGTTTAGAAAAAAAATATTAGCATATATGTATAATATGTATTTTTATTATAAAAAGAAACAATAATGCAATTTATTTTAGATATTTTATAATAATTTTTATTTTTTTTAATATTATCAACCCTCGCACTTAAAAATATCTTAAAAATCAGTTAGGGTTCGATTACAATTATTTGTTTTGGAGGAAAGGTTGCCGAGGAGATAAAACTAAAGTGTTCTAAATGAGATTACAATGATAAACTAATCTTCAAGAAGCAAGATCAGGAGCATTGATTAGACGTTGAATTTTTCTATTAGCCAAAGCACGTGAGCCGCATTTCATATGAACCAACATCCATGTATATTGCCTTTCTTATAAAGTGGAACATTAATGCATACCTTTTTCGGTTGAGGTAAAAGGAAGTGTTTTCATGGGTTAATTACTTGCACAAATCATATCCTTGATTGATAAATTTCCTCTTTCTAAATTTAATAACTAATTAATTATTTGTGAGTTTTTATCCCCTATGGCCATGAGAGCATTATACCAGAGTGGTGGATCTGTCACTGTAAAAGCTGAAGTGGGTGAGTGTTAGTGGGAGACAACCTTCTTCTGCAAACATCTACCTTTAAGGACGATCGAGCAGTGGTGATGAAATGTATGCCATGCGTCATGCCACCAAAATCATTAACTTTTCTAGCTGATCTTATTATATATAATAATTGATCTCTCTCTCTGTTTCTTTTTAATCTGTTCTACCTTTCATTGCCTTTTTCTTCTTCTTCATCATCAAATATTGATGCAGACACTTCACATATTCTGCTCCACAGTTGCGAACTTGAGCTTCTTCGCTGCTTTTCAATACATGTGAAGTAATTACCGCATAGCTTGCCTTCATATGGAAGCAAGCGCGAACTAATATCCGAATGTTGTAAGAGATATTTTTTGACAAAAATACTAAAATATCTCAATTATGTACCATGATGTTCATACTCTGTTGGAGGAAATACTGTGGGCTGTAGTAGCGTAATTTTTTTTATCAAGAAAAATATTATGAATTATAGCAGTATATTCCTTTGTTTTTTTCAGGTCACTTATTTTTTCCGTTGATCGTAATTTTAAATTAAAATTAATTATTTATTTTGTTTGACTTGGCATAATATCACAAAAGAAAATTGACTCGTGAATAATATATTAGATTTGAAAAAATTAAATAATATAAAATTGAGTTAAAACAATTAACAAAACATAAACTGAATTTAAACACCGTACAAGTATTAAGTTCTTTTTTGTATAAATAGTTCTTTTTCTTATAAATATCATAGATTAAATTGCATGAGCAACAGAGATATTCAACCCCTTTTTTTTTCCACAATATTATTTTTTTTAATTTAATCCTTTCATATCAAGGATTTTTTTTTTAGATTAGACTTGATAGTTTTTTGTTGTTGTCTATATATGAAAATTCAATGATGTGATGAAAAAATTCTAAAAAGTTTGGGTAAGACAACCTTGAAGGCATGTGAAACACACGCACCAGCATGTGAACCTTTATTCAAAGATGTAACACTATTACTGATGAATGGGTTCAAAGCGGCATACCAAGATCTTTTTTATGGTCCCATGCGTGTCAACAACATATTTACAAATCAACTCTAATAATTTTTTTTTCTTTGTTTTTTTTCCTCTCTTCCTTCCTCAAGATTCGTGCTGACCTACCAAAATTAAAAGGTGCCCTATCATTTTTTTTATCAACTTCGGTTCTTGTTCTTTTACTTTCTATTTATTTTGTTTTGACTCATTTTTTTTATCCCTTAGCATTTAGTTTCATTGTTTTATATCAAATTTTATCATCGTTCTTTTAATTGCTATTTGTTTTGTTTTTGATATTTTTTATTCTTTTTATATTTGATTGATTGAAAATTTAATTTCATAATTTTTTTTTTATTTTTCTTCTGTCACACTTAACATAACGTGTGGACCACCTAAATCAAAGTAAAAAATAGAAATAATGAAGTTTTCACCTAATAACTAAAGGAAACTACCAATCCTAAAGCATGCACTAGTTTCAAAGATTTAGATAAAGAGTTGGTTATACTTAAAAGGCATCACCCTTATTGTATCTTTTCAAATAAAATGTTATATTTTCTATGTGTTTTTTTTCCCTAAATATTATTATATTTATGTCATTAGCTATTTAAATTATTTTATGAGATTATTTGCAATTTTTTTAATTTATTTTTAATGATTTATAAGAAAATTCAATGTTCAACTTTAGAAATAGAAAATTCATCAATCAAGTTATTTACAAAACATTTGACACTCGTTCCTAGTTCCTAAAAGTAAAAGACTTATTGATTGGGTTATTTATATAAAAAAAAAGAATTAATATTTATAACTAAAAATAGAAAACTCGTCAATTAGCCATTCAAAAAAAATTGATGTCTATCCTAAAGAATAAAGGACTCATTAATTATGTTATTCACAAAATATGTTACTTCAATGCCTAAAAACAGTAGATTTATTAATTAGATCATTCATGAAAAATTTGATGTACATCCGTAAAATTAGAAGATTCATTGATTAGGCCATTAATAGAAATCTAATATCTATCGTTATTGAGGGGGGGAAAATTGAACATCCATCCCTAAAAATAGATAACTCGTTGAATTAATCATTTCTAAAAAAATGAAACGTTGGGCCTATAGGAATGGTTAAAATTAGAGTTAACCCTATTCTTTTAAAT